TCAACGCTTGCACCCACATAAAAACTCTTCATCATTGCGCTTGGCTGTACACGACAACAAGCTGGCTTTACAAGTTCACTATAATTTCCGTTGCATTTTTTGCTTTTTGACTATTTTCAACCAGCGCGCAGACACATAGTTATCTATATATACACATTTGTCTTTACAGAAAAATATATTACAAGAGCTGCATCGCTGGAAACTTGGTCTAAAAACAATACAAAATTAACCACACTTCAATCACTCTTTCGCTCACTCGTTCGTACACTCGTGCATTTTGATGCTCTTTAATCGCTTGTTTCCTCTGCAAGAGAAAAAGGTGCAGAAAAAACAAACACAAAAAAAAAACAATAAGAAAAAATCAAAAAAAAAGGCCCAACATCAGCTCACTTCTCTTGCTCGCTTTAATTAAGTAAACATCACGCTTGTGCCACGAAACAGCCAGAGGCGACATAACTGTTATGGCCTGATTTGTTGGTGTCGCAAAGCATTTTAACTATTCGTACTACATATAATAAACATACATACTTGTACTATACTGACATTTGCTTTTACATTGTGGTTTTCGTATAATTTACCCCAAGAGTCGGAATTTCATTCTTTTATTTTATTTTATTTATTTTTTTTTGTATTCTCTAAAAACCGTCTAAATTTATAATCACAGCAAAAAAAAATATTAACAACATTTTGTTATAATTTTATGTTCAGCTTCACTTCCTTTTTCAATTTTACATTCACACCAATTTTTTATTTTTTTATTTTATTTTTTGCTTTCTTGTGTTTGGAACATTTTTTTGGTTTGGTTAGCCCAATTTATTGATAAATCTTAGTCACGATTTTATTTTGTTGAATTATTCGTTCTTTCCCTTTTTGCTATTTATTTTCCTTTTTTTTCGTTCTCTGTTCTTTTTGATTACCTTAATTGTAACATATTTTTTCATGGCTTTGCGAATAACATAAATGGAATCACTACACCGAAGTGTAAAAAGTGATTTGTGATAGATTCCAACCAATCGCTAAAGGTAAACAAAGTGATTCACCGGAATCAAGATATTAATATATAGACAAATAGATAAATCTTTAGTAATTGACGAAATATAACACTTAAAGGGAGGGATTCACCATGAACGAGTTTTATTAAACGCCAATCATATTAACAAGCTCCCTAACAAGTCCCACATAAATCTTCAACTAATTTAATGATGGTTTCGTGAGTTCTTCATTGAAAATAGTTTTTAATTTAAGGCTAGTAGAAATAATTATGCAAAAATACTAGAAAAATATTGGTTTTTCTTTACTGTACTGTTGCACGCAAAACGTTATTATAAATTTCGTTTTCCATAACACCGGTTCTATATTCACTGAAAAGGGATGAACGAAACGCAAATGAAGAAATTAAATTCTATCTAACAAATGCTTTGACGATTCATAGAAGAAAAATGTTTATGATGCTCACATACCATTCAAGTTATGCGATATCTATATTCTCAGTTAAATAGCAGTATTTATTGGGGCACTGGGAGGCAGCAAGCGACTTTACCGATTCCATTCAGCAAAATGTTACTGGCAGGCTTTATGTGCCTTTCACAGTCAATTAGTCAACACCCAGATAAACTCTGTTTCAGTGAAAGTCGTCCAGAATCTAGCTGGTAGGCTTACCTCCAACAACACCACATTTGATCCGACAAACCCAACTTTTGCAAAAAAAAAACATTTTTATTGTATGTTTTTTGGCAGCACTTGTAAAGAAGTTGGCTATTGCTTAAACGTGTTCAACCGAAGCTTTTCATGTTAACATTCGAAAAAACGATAATAAAATACTTTTAATTTTATTATTACTCACCATCATTGGACATACATGTATGACGAAAAGTTTAGAGCAATGTCAGGGCGAAATGTGGCAACTGAATAACCAATAACTTATCATAAGGAAATGTTGATATGACCCTCTCATAGAAACTCTTGTCCCTACAGGCAAAAAATTTCTGCCAATCAATTTTCACAGGCTTCTCTTGAGGCCAATTCACCATCAGACAAATCATTCGCCATAGACAGGAACAGATGGAAATCAGTTGGAGTGAGGTCGAGGCTATAAGTTGGATGCGTAAGAAAGAACCAAGCTCGCGGAGGTTCTGCCAAGTCAATATCGATGTGTATGGTCTGACGTTACCCTGATGAAACATAACTCTCATTCTGTTGACCAAAGCAGGGCGATTGCTTTCTACAGGCCGTTCAGAAAATAGCTTATCCATAGAGCTGATATTTGCTGACTTCTTGCCAATCCCACCAAACTCACAACCGGACCCTCCTGGCCGTTAATACCAGCTTGGAGACCGCTTGTGCTGGATGGCTAACTTTTGAGTACGACAGATTTTATTTGACGTTGCTATAAGTGCTCCATTTTTCATCACCCTTCCGTATGCGCTTTAGAAATCGGTCGATTTGTTACGATTCCGCAGCAATTCGGAGATGGAATTTCGGTCCATAAACTGTTTTCACATTTTCAACTATCTGATTTGCGTTTTTGCCTCTATCGAAAAAAAAAAATTTACATGTAGCGTATTTTCTTTTTGATGGTCCCATCATTGACATGCTCAACCCTTCACCCATTATTTTTTTAGTACAAATAATCGTCTTTGTAATGCCATCTAGCGTAATCCAATTGGACTTTTAAGAACGAAACTACAGATCACTTAAGGCATTTATTAATTAATTTAGATATTCATTTTTAATTGACCTTAAATAAAAAAGTAAATGTTGTAATTTGCATGAAAATTGTCAGATTTTTTGTCAAAAATGCTTTAATATCGCTTCAGCGGTTACTATTTTTATATTAGTTCGGAGTGACCAGGTGTATGCGATTTAGTTTAGTATTGAAAGGAACTTAGTATTTTTAATTTGTCAATAAAATATTTAGGATTTTTCTGGATTAGAGCATTCTTTGAAAACATTTTGGACTTTGTAAGCCAGAAAGCAGTGGGAAATCTCAGACGAGTATATATATATATGTCGCGTTGTAACCGCTGAAGCGATTTTCGGCCGAGCTCCTCCTCCCATTTGTGTTTTTGCATCTTGATTTTTTTCTTACAAATGGAATCCAACAGTTTATACTAAGCCGCATCTGAAAGGCTGATGACTTTTTATGAGGAGCCTTATTTTATGTCTGAAATACATCCAAAGGGGTTGACATTAGAAAAAATTAGAAATTTTTATTTAATTTATTACTTAAATAAATTTTCTAAAACTTTTTGAATGTAAGTACGTCAACAGGATCTGAACTTGAGTTTTGGGAATGGCAGTTCGCAATGATAGCCACCCTGCTCCTCGGCACCGTGGCTTACTTAATTATGTGTAAAATAGTGAGTATTCTTATTTGTCAATATTTTTTTCAAAGCGAAATTACTTTATTTACTTGCCCCAAAAGTAACTTTCTTCTAAATTGTCAAAGCATTAAGTGTCCAAAACTCGCCTTGCCAGTGTTAATTTTATTTACGCTTTGTTGCGCATTATCCAACAATTAAGTACACCATCAAGTAAACGTAATGTATAAATATAATTGTAGAGAAGAAGATGATGATGAATGTTATGTCATAAAGTGATATCATCATGTGAAACGAAAGAGGAGCTTAGTGTAAAATATTGAAGATTGTAAAGCCCCTCTAGTTGGACTGCAGTCGAAGTAGACCATTTCCGTTTTCAACCCAATTAAGAAGGTAAGTTAGATTCTAATGATCCTTTTCACAAGTATTACATTCGCCTTGATCTAGGCGTAGGAATTGTGCCTAAAGCTGGAGAGAGCCTTTGTCGGGATTCTGAGGGTTTTTAAACTTGGGCGCTAGCTGTCCTGAAATTTTTTACAAGCGTAACTCTACACGGAATAGCTACTCTTAATCAAGAGGAAACAGAAAAGACGTGAATTTGAATATGAGTTTTCTAATGTGAGTAGATAAAATGTAACTTTTTCAAGATTTGCAAATTTTGTGATATTCAAAATAATTTTCATATATTACATAAATTATTTGAAACAATATTAAAATTAAGAAAGGCGTGTAGTTTTATAATTCCTGTAATTGCCATTAACATGCTCACTTACATATGTATATACATACTTATTCGTAAAGATGACAGTGAAGATTATCTTCATGAGCAAAAACGACTGTGTGCAAATCCATTAGGAGTCGCAAACCACAACAATTACCGACGCTGCAAGTGATGAGTGTTAAAGAAAGTAAATATATAAAATAAAAAATGAAATGAAAAGCACACATATATACAACTACATAGAAATTCTTAAACGGATGTATGCAAACAAAGCTCATTGTCAATGCTTCTCATTTCGAAATTTCCTTGTCATCAACGGTATGTATGTATTTATTTCTTCTATAGTGGGTGTGTAATTTAATTTAATGATGATGTGGCACCTTTCTAACTGGTCCCACGTGAATATGAAATATAATTTGTGCCATACAAACATACATATGCATTTACACATATAAGTGCTTCATAAGCACGCCATGCATAAATTCACTTTATGTGACTTTGCGGTTATTACAGTTATCCGTGACTCGCACTACCGCATTTGGGGTTTTTTTTCGGCAGCGACATTATCATGGTTTTGCGTTTTCGTTGCATTTAATTTGTTTAATTTATAGTTATTTATTTTTATTTATTATTTCACTACTTCGATGTTGCCCATGTTGCATTTGGGGGAAGAGTTGTTGTAGCGGTATCATGTATATATATATACGTACATATGCATGAACATGAATACAAAATAACAAAGTTTCAAGTAGGAAATATATTGATAAAGGAAGATGAAGTAGAAAAACTTAAGTGAAGGTGAAAGGATATCCGGTAAGTATATCTACTGTAGGAATCTACTTAAACATTTTAACTTACAATTTTCAATTTTTTAATTTATATATTACTGATTTTTTAATGTCAAATACTTTCATTTTTCTGAAACCTTATAATTATCATTTTCAAATAGAAAGCTGATGTTCAATAAATTTTATTTAAAAAATAGAATATTAAAGTTTTTATTTTAATAAATAGAAACTACGTTTTCTATATAATTGGGGATCCTGTGAACTAAAACTCCTTAAAGTATGTATATATGTATGTGTTTATCAAAAATTTGTTCAACTAAATTTTAATTAGGCAATTTTCAAAATTTGTGTGGGGAATTCTTTAAAAAACGTCTATCATTAAACTACAAAAGAAAAATCAAAGAAAATACTAAATTTTCATTTGCATTTAATACCTTTCTGAATTCTGCGGTTATATATACAATTTCAAATTATAACATAGTTTAATATAAATCAAGAGTTGGTGTAACATCTATGCATCGAAATAACAAATATACAACTTCAATCTAATTTTAGCAATCATCTGGAGAAAATATAAACATATTAAATATAGTGATTTTATAAATGAAAATAAATATTAAAATTGTGAAAATTTGGGCGCAAAATTTAAAGTTATTTATACCGGACTCAATTTTTAAAAGGAAAAGCATATAAACGTTGAAGACCAACAAATTACTCAATTCAAGGTCCTGTTAATTTCACTTCACCGATTTCTGTAGAAGTTTATTAATTTTATTTGGATACAATTTTGAAATTTAATTGAAGAAATTAATAATAATAATATGCCCATATTTAATAAAAAGCTTACAAAGATATAACTTGGCTGAGTTCCTTATATTGTATCAGGGTTATCGCTTAAACACTTTATCTTGCCTTCCAGATGAATAAATTTGCGTACACAGGTAAAAAAAAACGTATGAGCATAGTATCGAAAGAGTAAAAACTAATTATTGCAAAATCATGGCTTACATATTAAGTTTTTCAACATTATATACATATTTACAGCCATACAAAACATAGTGTGAATATGGAAATCATTAAGGCTTTTTAGTAGTGCACTTAAAGGAAAAGCGTTGAATTTGTATAAAATAATATATACTATATATATCAAAAACAAGAGAAATTTAGTATCAGCATAAAACCCTTTCAACACTCTCACCAAACTCGTCAACTCCAAGCAAGAATATCACCATTTTCAAATACATAATTTAACAAAATTTCCATAAAACACTCAGGCAAGGTAAAAAATTGAATAAAATATTGCTTCAAGCATATAAGTATATACATACTCGTATATGCCTAATTTTCTGCAAATGTAGGTATGTACGAAGTAAATGCAAATTAATGTAAATTCGCGGCGATCTCTTCAAGAGTTTGCCTGCCGAGCTGGAAGTCGCATTAATATCCATTTCAAGATAGTCCCTGATAACTTCCCAAATTCACTATTTAAAGTTGCTAAAAGCTACCGCTAGTATTTGGAGCAGGAAGACCGAGGCTAACAGCATTTGCGGAAAATGCAAAGCACTTATCATTTACATAGGCATGGAGGGTTAGAGTTATATCGATTACGGCGCTGACGATGACTTTTAGTATGCATACACGTATGTAATATATGTTTATTCGTGTTTGTACATTTGCATCCAACTGTTGCGCATAAATTGACGGTTCAGTTGATGCAGAATAAAAGCCGAAGGCTTGAAGTTGCAATGAACTCATTCATAAATAACAACATTTATTCATATATACATTTGTGCATACATATATAAGTGCCTACTTTGGTACACGTTTCCACATAAAAGTTATATCAAACATGCAAAAGAGACAATTCGCATCCGGTGAACACATTGTCAAGCACATACAACAACATACATACAATATATTAAAGTACATAGCTTTTGTTTAACATTCATATTTGTTGGACATATACTCGTACATGCATAATACGTTTGAATATAATAAATATATATATGAGATCCGTATGTTAATAAATACATTTAGGTTCAGTTTTATTAAAATGAAATAAAAAACTATTTAGAAATATATTTGTGTGTCATGAAGCATTGCAATTCCATTTCCTGCTTCTTTATGTTTTCTTTCAAAAAATGTTATAAAAATTTTTTATGTTGAGCTGGACAATATTTGAACCCATGACCCTCCACATGAAGCTCTGATAACAACCTGATAATATCTTAAATAATTTTAATCTTTATAATTGTTCAAAAGTAACCAAAACTACATGCAGTTTTTTCGACTTGTTTTGTTTTAGTAGAAAGTCTGAAATTTATGAATCAATTTTCAACGCTTAAAATGCTTTATAAATGTCAAAAACTACTCAAAAAATGGTAATTCAAACGTGATTACATTTCGCGCTTTAAGAACCGATTATGATGAACAAAATCGTCCAACTGGAGAGGCTGGATCGGTTACACTTAAAAGATATGTTTGTCATTGGCTTGCTCGTTCCACCTCAAATATCGCTAATGTAAGAGAAAGTATAGTTGAATACTAGAATTTGTCTATATCTCAATCATTCTCAAGAGCTAGTATTTCCTTACGACACATTTTTGTGCCTCACGCAACAAATGAAGCCAATAATATTAATATTAATAATCAATAATAAATTTTTCGAACAAAATTTTCTTCAACGACGAGACACATTTGCCCCTTCACATTTGAGGTGTCGTGAGTCCTCAAATAATTGAAGAGAGGCCAGTAAAATAAAGAAGTTACTGTCTGTTGCGCTGTTTAGTCTTAAAGTGTGATTGAACTTTACTTCATTGAAACACTTTTTTGGTCTGCAATTGAAGCACACAACTTAGGCAATATGTAGTTGAAACGAGATAGTGCCGATGACACACAACTCTAGCGAGTGCATGTGGCTTTATTGTGAGAGAAGTTTCTTGTACGGATAAACTATTAACTCTTGAGCACTTGAAAACCAACATTCGTCTAGTTATTGTCGAAAATTACCTTAAACGGATCGAAGTTTTCAAAATGAGCGTTCCGGCCACTCGAACGATTTAGTATCATGGTATTTGAAATATAATGCTTTATAACTTTAACTTAAAAATAAAGAAGAAACTTCATAAAAAATATGCAAATTATATTTTTTTATGAAATTTTTAAGATATATCGTAAAAATGTGCGGTATTAATGATTAAAAAAGAACATTTATTAATTGAAAGGACTGTCGCTAGAAACTGTGTCGGCAATTACAATTCCAAATGTAAAATTCTTGGACTGGGAATTAATAGTTTTCATAGAAATTTCATCCGGCCAAAAGAAAAAATGTTTGATTAAACTATTTTTAACATAGTTAAAACGTAACCAAATGCGATTTTTCTTAATAATGCAAAATTTCGTTTTATATTGTATATCATATAAGTAGATCTAATTTGCTACATCTCATATACATAAATGCTCTAGGTTATGTTCCTAATAATTTTTAATTTTCATTTGCCTTGCCCACATGGATTTTTCATTTAGTTCCATTCAACATGCAGTCTCAGCAATGCGCATTCCTTTTGTTGTTTGCGTTTTCTTGTTTGCCACTCTCATTGTCAGTCATTTTAATCATTTATCACGGTCGTTGTTGTGTTGCATCGATTTGTGTGGATCATGTTATACTAATAAATGTATTTTAATTAAGGTTTTTGGTATGAATTTTTTACATTATTTTTTATTTATTTAATAGCGTAACAACTAAATAAAAAAGTGCACAAGTGTGTGCCTATACATATGTAAGTGTTGTTATTGTACGCCACTCATGCGACTGGCTATCCTTTACCACATCCCTGAATGTATATAAGGCAGGAGTTTTTCATTTTCAACACTAGACAAAAACAATTTTCCATATATAATATAATTTTTAGACATACACGCATGTATTTTTAAAAATTTGCATAAGTGTGTACGCAACAGCTCACTTACGCATAATAAATTTATATCAATGGCGACTATACAAATTTGCATAATTTCATATATATTTATTTACCTACATAAATATTTTATATTTCCATTGTACTATTGGACTTGTTTATCCCGGTGTGATTTTATCATTCTTTGTTTTGATGGCTAAGCAAGTAATCACTTTTTGCTATTGTATTTTATAGGCTTTGTTTTATCTGTTGTTTGCATTATATTTTATTGTAATTGTTTTTGTTTGACATGTTTGTGGTATGAAGCCTTAGTAATTTAGGTAATTGTAGCTGCACAACATTCATGACATCAATCTATGGATAGAGGGTATCATATGCTGACGGCTATATATTTTCCTTGCTTCCAATCAAATGCTATTTTCTATGTCTGTGCATTTAATCTTTCGCTATGCTCAATTCCATTTTTTAGTTTTCCTTGCAAGTTTTGTTTTCGGTGCTTCGATTATTACAATTAAAAAAAAGGATTAATTATTTTAAATATGTCACTATCTGAAATAAAATTTCAAAATAAAAACATTTGACTGTATATCCAAAAATCGTGAGAATAAAACTTAGCTCAGGAGTGATGTAAATTTCTTAATAGTATTTTATTAGTCGCCAGAGGTATTCAGAAAATTTTCGTTTACGATCCAATGTTGTTGCATTTAGAATTTAATTAAGTGATTTTTGATTCACTGAGGTTCGTTTCCGGCTTACCGCATTAATTAATATGAAGATAATCGGCAAATTGTGAAATTTTGTATTGTCCACAAAAAAGTAGGGTGCACCCAAATACATGTACGCTTCTACGAATAGAACGAATGTGAAATATATAATAAATTTGCTTTGAAGAGCACTGTATTTCAATTATTAGTGGAGTATTAATTACATATTTTATCAGAGAAAATATGAGTTGTTTTGAACTAAAGTTAAAGAATTCTCTGATCTTGGAGTCACTTTCAAATGAGATTTTTCGTTGGTTAAAAGATGCAAAAAAGATGAAAGTCTAAGATTCGAAAAAAGATAAAAATTGCAATTCTTTCTATATTATTTATCTATCTAGCTAATCATTTTATTACTTTTGCCGCCTCAGAAAAAGTGCTTGAAAAAAATGGTCTATTCATAGCATCTGTTTAGAAAAGAACCCCAAAATAATTAAAAAATCTCCAAGCTCAAATATTTTTAAGTGGCAAGATCAAATATTTCTCAGCAAACACGTTATGTGAAACTGCCTTATAGAATTTTCGTATCATCAAAATAAATTGAGCAGTTCTCGAAAACTTTTAACAACCAACTTTGTTTAGAGCTCTGAGAACTCGAAAGTTTAGGATAATATACTCGAGATTCATATAAATTAATTATAAAATAATCGAAGTTTTGAAGCTCTAGACCCTATAGAGAGAGGGGAGACTGATATGCAAATATGTACGTGTGTATATGTTAATTCCAAATAAATGACAATGTGACAAACAAGTACGAGTTCCTACTTCTACTATTTTACCTGAATGAAAAGCAAAAAAAAAACGCTGCATATTTACAAGCTTACAACATAACCAAGCTCACGTTCTGATCTAAGTTCTTTTTTCGTTGACCCTCAGGTAAGTCACACGTACACTTTACATACATAGTTTTGTATATGAACGCCCATAGCAATCCGTTGGCCGAAACACAACATTGTAAACAATGCCAACTAACCAAAAACGAAAAATGTTCCGCTACGTTGCATTCATTCGACTCATTAATAATGTCCTACACATACACATAATATTAACATACAAACAAATATGTATATATATAACTGTATTTCTGGTCGCATAT